GATTTCCAGTCCTTGGGGTCCTGCCACCAGGTTCTCCTTCCCCTTCTCCCCATGGTAACCTTCCACTCTGCTTCACAGCTGTGTACATAGCACATCTGCCAGGCCATTTTCTCTTCACACCCTGGTCTGCAGCTTCTATGTAGAAGGGGGTGCAGTTTACCTGAGGAGACAGGGCAGGGAATGGGGCTTGCACAGGGATAAGAGAGCTTTCCTGGGTGAAGTGGGGGCTTGAACACAGGACATACTAATAGGAGAGAGGATTGTGCCAATGTGAGTGGGGTGTGGGATGGCTCTGCAAGGGGAAACAGCTTCCCCTGCCATCCACTGCCTGTCCTTGCCCACTGATCTGTTTTCTTTCCAGGCAGAGCGGCACAGCCCTGTCCTGCTTTCTCTGATCTGCCCCCAGCTGGGGGTGAAACCTGAACAGATTGTGGAGATGGAACTATGCCTGGCAGATACACAGCCAGCGGTGAGTAAGAGCAGGAGCCTCCCTCTGCGTGCACACAGCCTATGGGCTGGCACTACACAGGTGTTACCTGGCACACGTCCTCTGCCTGAGGTGTGCAGGGCTGGGAGCTGCGTGGAATGAGAGGAGGCAGCTCCTGAGGGGCAGAGATGAGGGGACTGGAATGGGGATCCAGTGGCAGGTACTTTTGCTGATCCAGAGCCTGTGCCCTGCTCCTCCTGACTCTCTGCTTGCAGACTCTGGGTGGTGCCTTCGATGAGTTCATCTTCTCCCCACGTCTGGACAACCTGCACAGCTGCTACTGTGCCCTTCAGGTGAGGGGGAAAAGAGCCTTGAGGCTGTAGCATGGTGTACTCCCGTGGGATGGGTCTGGCTTGTTAAAGGGCCTGGGGTTGGATGGGGGCTGCCCCCTTTTCTGGGTGTGTGGGGTTCCCCACAGCTCCCAGAAGTGGCACCTGCTGTCATTTGGTAATGTGTGTGCCCACAGCTCCCTTTCTCCATGCTTTGGGGTCTCCTGGGGAAGTTCCTGATGGTTCAGTCCTGAGATTCCCAGGACAGGGTGGCACTCAGGCTGGTGTCCTTTCCCCCCAACCCTGCAGGCCTTGATCGACTCATGTGCAGCACCCTCCTCCCTGTCCCAGGAGCCCAATGTGCGTCTCATTGCACTCTACGACAATGAGGAGGTGAGTGAGGGGCACCCCGTGGTGGCCAGCACTGGGAAGGACTCCATGTTCTTGCTCTCCCCCAGCCATGCCTAGCAGGAGAGAGATCCTACACCTCAGCGGAGGAAGCTGGGGGTTTGCTTACCCCTGCATGGAGCATGGCCCAGGCAGGGGGTGGGAAGCCCTGGTGTGGTAGGAAGTTGCTCTGCTGGCTTTGGGGAGACCACTGTCACTCAGTTGACCCCTGGGGTGCTGGGGGGGTTGTCCTTGGCAGGTAGGGTCAGAGAGCGCACAGGGCGCGGAGTCTTTGCTAACAGAGCTGGTGCTGCGCCGGATCTCAGCATCACCACAGAACCTGACAGCCTTCGAGGAGGCTGTGGCCAAGTCCTACATGATCAGCGCTGATATGGCCCACGCTGTGCACCCTAACTACGTGTGAGTAGTCTGGGCAGTGCCACAGGCCAGGGCAGCCTGCCTTGCCGCCTGGCATTCCCCAGGGACTACAGAAGGTAGTCCTCTTTGCAGCAGAGAGAGAGGGCTGTAGCGTGAAATTCCTGCTTCTCTTTTGCAGGGACAAGCATGAGGAGAATCATCGTCCAGCTTTCCACAAGGTGAGGGCAGCCCTCTGCTTTGGGCTGGGATAGATGCTGTGCGTCTCCCCTGCAGCACTGTGGATTGTCTCGATGCTCCCCAGAGCACTGTCCTGGGATGCAACTTGGCAGTACTCAAATGGGAAATGTTTGTCCCGCAACGGGATTTGGCTGTGCCACACATCTGATGTTAATCACTTGGGATCCCAGTCTTGTCCCTGGAGCCCTTCCCTGCACTAAACTGGGGCTGTCCCCATGACACAGCTCTCCCCATGCCCACGGGCTTGTCCAAGGAGGGGAGAATGGACTGGTGTATTGGGGTGGGGCAGCATTGCGTGGGGACGCGCATTTCCAGGGCCTGTCTATCCCTGGGTCAAATCACGGGCCTGCGATGCCTTCCCTTGTGCAGGGCCCCGTCATCAAAGTGAACAGCAACCAGCGCTACGCCTCCACAGCTGTCACTGAAGCAGTCATCCGGGACATTGCCGCCCGCGTGGGCGTCCCTCTGCAGGTGAGGGGGGCTGAGCCCTCCGGGAACATTACCAGTTTGTGCTGCAGCCCTGCCCTGGGTTCACAAGGGGTCTGTGCTAGAGCCTCACCCCTGTTACTGTGTCTGTTCCCACTGGGGTCTGTGCTGTCTGCTGCTCTGGGACTCCAGCTCCCAGGCTGCCTTGGGGAGCAGGCTCATGAGCAGGAGGGGAGCCTGGTCTGAATGTGTTCCCTCTCTGGAGGATTTTACATGCTGGCTCATGCCGGTGCTGCCTCCCTGTCCCAGACTGCCTCCCTTCAGGGTTGAGGGCCTGTGTGGGAGGCTGTGGGGCAGTATGGGGGAGCTGCTGAGGCCTTCTCCCCATACAGGAGTTCATGGTGCGTAATGACACACCCTGTGGCACCACCATCGGCCCCATTCTGGCCTCCCGCCTGGGGCTGCGTGTGCTGGACATCGGCTGCCCACAGCTGGCCATGCATTCCATCCGGGAGATGTGCTGCACCTCGGGAGTGCTCCAGAGCATCACCCTCTTCAAGGTTAGCCCTGTGTCCCCCATCATGAAGCCCTCTCCCTCCTACTCTACATCTATGCATCCCAATGCCCCCATCCAGCCCCTACCTAGAGGCTGAGCCCAACCATCCCGCAGGGCTCCCCAGTCCTCTGGAGCAGCGCAGGTACTGGCTGCTTCCGGAGGTGCATCCCAGGCTTCCCTGGTGACTGCCATCCCTAAATAGTTCCTATGGCAACCGGTGCTAGCCTTGAGTCAGTGATGGGTTACTATGGCGACGTGGTCCTGCTCTTGAGTAGCTGCCTGCTACGACGCTGCCTGCGTAACCCGACAGGGAGCCACCGCCTTCTCCCGCTGCCTGTCCCTCCACACTGCCCTGCCCTGCCCACCCTGACAACCTCTCTCCTTCCAGGGCTTCTTTGAGCTCCTGCCAACGGTCAGCAGCAGCCTGGTGGTCGACTAAGTGCAGCAGGGCAGGAGCAGCAGCTCATACAGTTCTGGGGCCATTAAAGCATCTCTGTCTCAGCAGCTAGTGGTCCATGACTGTGACTGGGGGCGTGGGTGATGTTAATGGCTCCCCCTGGGGACTCCTATGTCTCTCACCTGGGGCTGGGAGCAGGACATATTCACCCACCCACAGTGGCCCCCTCAGTGCCTTGGTGAGGGGATGAGGGGGGATGCGGAGGTCCCAGCTAACAGGCAGAACATGCCCTGCCCCTACCCAGGGCAAGCTGGTGGGAGGGTGTCCCTTTTCCAGCGCTGGTGTTGCCCCTTTCCCCAGGGCAGCAAGGTGGTGGCTGAGTCTGCTGTGTGCCGCTGGGACCT